GAGGTAATCTCTACACATGCCTCTGTCCCAGCTTTTTTGGAATGCGTTGCCAACATCAAATTCAATTGAAAGCGAATATTTGCAAAAAAAAGAAAAAAAACTGTTTATCAATTTGAACAGTAAGTATTTTGTCTTGTTTTCAATTGATTATATGTTGAAAAAAAGGTAGTAAATCATTGTATTCTGTGTTTATGTTTTACACAATGTCCCAACTTCACTGGAATTAGGGTTGTACAAACGAATAACCTTTAGATTGAACACAATAACACATATCCATCACAGTCAAATGCACTAAAAAGAAAAACAAACAAAACCTGATAGAAATTTGTTGTGGTAGTACCTGAGACTGATCCTTAACATGCTATTCAATTTTGTCAATAATTATTTTGACTCAACTCAGGCAGCTCAATCTGTTGACAAATATTCCCATATCTCAATACATTGAGACTGATGAAACTTACAGGAAATAATTATCAATAAGTATTTCTATAACTGATTAACGTGGAAAAACAACTGGATTCTAAATTGTTGCTACAACCAACTGGGCTTAGAAAAGAAGAAAATGCTATAATTCAGTTAATTTAATAAATATTGGGCTGAAATTTAGTGTAATTGTTGCTCTGAGTTGTTCATAATAAAACATTGCACATTAACTGTGAAAGTCAATCCTCTTTGTCAATCCGCAAAAATTATAATTAATCGCTTGAAAATGTTTAATGAAATGCTTAGAAAACAGTTAATAGATGTACATTTACAACTGATCAACTTTTGGAGTCAATCCAATTCAAGATTTATCGCTGTTAGCTGACAAAACATGGTTCTAATTCAGTCAGTTTTACAGATAATGAGCTACAAATCTGACTTAGTAACAAAGAGACACAATATTTTTTGAGATTTAACACATTTTTAAGGTTTGACCAAAACCTCCACAACTCCATCATTTCTCAAGATAAGATGTCTCTGTTCTGAAAGACAGAGTGGGAATTTGTTTTTCTCCAAGGGATTTAAGGCCTCTAATTTCCTCCCCTTTTGACTTAATTTGCAAATAGAAGCCTTTACTATTTTTCTGCAAGTTTCTGACTGCAAGTTTCTGCAGTCAGAAGTTTCAGTAAAACTGTTCCCCCACCCTCAAATTAATAAAAAGACAACAGTGCTTTTGTCTTGTTTTGTTTTGTT